TTTTTTCCGCTTATGTTTTTACTTCTTACAATTAAATTTTTCGAATTCCTCGTTGAAAACTGATTCTAGTGAAGTGGCTCTCAAGGACTTTTTGCCACAAATAAAATTTTGGCACAGTACGAAACTCGCCTGGCTCGCCGATTGACACCTTCAGCTTGCAAACCTATCACAGATTTTGGGTTAAGGGATAGGTCCTCCGTTGTTCTACCATTAGATAGCCCAAACGATAAGCTTTAAAAGTATGGAGAGTTTTTTCCAAAAATGTTTTTTCTTCACCGGAAAAAAACGCGTTTTGTCATAAAAGAAGGAAAAACGGCCAGACCGTTTTTTCTAACTTTTTCATCATTGGCTGGAAAACGATAAAACTTAATCCCTCTAGGCTTCTGGACGTCAGGAATCCAATGGACGAGCTTACGCACAAGCCAGAGGATTTCTAGAGGATTTTTAGAAGGTTTTGAAAGGGTTTAAGGGGGATCAAATTTCACTCGAAGTTTGCTTTACGTGCATCTTACATTTTTTATTGAAATTAAGAAGTGAAAATATTATCAGCGCAAGCGGAACGAGTACAATAAAGAAGTCTATTAATAATGTTGTAGATTCGCTGTTAGAAACAGTCCTTGATACTTGCAATATTTCATCCAATGATCCCCAAGTGCAGCAGATGTTGCTTTTTATAAAAATATGTTTTCTGCTTCTGATCCGTCTGAGTTTCTGTTTTTTAAAAACTGTGAAGAACGTTTCAAGCTTATTAAGCCAGTAGAAATGACTCTACCAGCTGATGGTAAATATTTTTATTTTCCACTTGAACAAGTTTTGGCTCAGTTGTTGAGTAAAAAAACTCCTTGAAGGGCTTCAAACAAATCTGTTTTGGAGATTCCGATTTGATGTATTCTAATCGAGATGGTATTATTGCTCGCAAGCGTCTGGGTATCAAAAATCAATTTTTACTACAATTGTACAAATACTATTTAATAAATAGTCAAATGAAGCGGAATGTTTAAACGCGCAAGATCTCGCTTGTTTCAAACAATAAACCGAAAACTCTTCTTTTTATTACGTCTGATGATAAATGTTTGAATAATTTTAAATAACAATTAAAGGCAAGAACTCTATCGCTGTAATGAGAGTGAATATTTCCAAATATTTCATAACTACTGGCAATACATCTAACATCACTTGTTGAATGTTTTTCTAGGAGCAATTAGATTTTTCACAGTAAACCGATGTCTGTTCATAATCACCTTTTTTATACCAAATCTTTTCGGGAGTTACATAAATATTGCCATGCATTAAGCATTACATCAGGAGGAAGCGAAGTAATGGCATGTAAACTAGGTAATCCAGGACAGAAACATTTTTTATTCCATAAATTTTAGAATCTCCTTTGGAATAGCCATCTCACTGTACGACTTTTCCACTTTCAGTACAACAACGACTTAACTCTGTATAAGGAATTAAACAATAACGACAAATAGGACCACTATTAAAAGATCCTGAAAATCGCCAATACAGAAAATCGCAGCAAGATGACAAATGGAGCAGGAAAAGATAGTTTGAACCAGGGCGGAAAACGTGATAAACCATTTTAAATAGTACTGAGAAACGTTTTCTGACCTAATCCTTGACGGCTCTCCACCTTCGATACCTGCGCAAGAGTCCGGTTGAACCCATCAGAGAAGCCATCGACAAGTTCGATCATTCTTGTTTGGCTTAGGGTTCTCATCTATGTAATAGTCAGATAATGCTAATTCTACCGATTGTTTTGATTATTTTCGATTATAATCGATTTCAAATTGATTAAAATTGTATGATTATAATCGATTCTTAATCTTATTATTCGCTGGATTTTTTATATGAAAATGCTTAGAAAAATTCGTCAAAGCCCATAGCCGATTGAGAATTTTTCCTCGGTTTCAAGTTTTTCGTCTTGGAGTCATGGAAAAACAGAAGGAAAATCAGTACAAGTACTTGATGCTCGCAGAGAAAATTTGTACGCCATTAGAGCTGCCAAATTTATTCCTCTGACCGCAAGGAAATAGACATCTATTTTTTGTAATAAACTTAAATTAATAAATACGTTGCCACTGACCATCAATAACAACCACAGGTGCTAAAATAATGAGATTATAAGTCCGGAACCAGCGGAAGACAAAAGAAAATTTGCCTCTCTGCCTTCAATGACTTCACTACTCTTCTGCTTGATCGACGGTTCACCCGATGTTTGTTCTTCTGCTAATGTTGAAATGTTTGTTTTTCCTTGTAGATCATTCGACGATTCTCCTGTTGTAACATCGGTTTGTGGCGGCATCGGAGTAACGTTTTCAGACGACAACTTTTGATTTCGATAGTAAACTAAATTTGCTATACAATGCGAATGACATCGTCCACTTTCTGATGTTTCTGAGAAGACACTCGTTGATTCAGTTGCGTTGCTGTCAGCCAACTTATCCAGTATAAGAGTACTAGTTTCTGGTGGTGGTTCTTGTGTTAAAGCTAGAAAGGAAAGGCGAAATAAGGCGAGTTGTTTTCTTAATATTTCCGCTTGATTTCGATTTGGCTACCGCAGCACCAACATCACTAGCAACATCCGGACACATTGTGATTTCATAATGAGCATTTTTGCATTGATAGGTGCCTATAAGAGACAGAGAGAATGCTACATACACTCTTCTTTAGA